TGTGAATGATGGAGACAGACTACAAAAATCAAAGATTAAAATCTCTTCCTCTGCCAAAGCAGGAAAACCCATTTTATTGATGCATGGCAGACACATCAGTAAGACACGAGATGAGATAAAGGCTTGTTGGTGTGGCACGTTTTGTAGGGAACTGAAATACATACTGAAAGCACAGACCACCAGAGCATAAATTTGTGCATGACTAGGATTCAAATTTTGTGTTTCATGTCTTCATTCTCTATTATGTTCACAATCATGACAACAAATAACAAGGGACTGCTTGGAATGCCATTTCTTTCTGACATGTAGCAATCCTCTTATTGTGTATTCGAACACAAGAGGTCTATTTATAGGACATATACTACACCCTTAGGCCTAGAATATGAGTGTTTGACAGGCCCTCTAAGAAACTACTAACACAAGGTTGAAAGAGGGGGCTAAAGAGACTGACTAATGAGAATGGGTCTGAGGAATAAACAAACAGATAAACAGGGCAGTAGTGCGGCTTGTTTTCCCCAAAATCACTTTGTTATGGAAGTAATTTAGAGAAAGTTTACGATAAGACATTGTGAGATTTGAAACTGCATCGTGAGATTAAAATTTGCAAAAAGAAGCCCAAAACTATGAAAATAGTCGCACTGTGATATATATATATTGCAATTACTTGATATTCACAATTATAAGAATCAAAATTACCTTCCAAGATAAGTTGCAGTTACACGAAACAAAATTCCATTGTGATAGTTACAATTAGCCAGACCGATATTATCGGCCGATATTAGACATTTTCCAAAATATCAGTATCGGCAGTTATAATGGCCGATAAATAATATTCAAAAAATAAAATAAAAACAGACCAAACATGCTTCAATCATCTCTCCTTGGCCTGTTATATTGATGCTCTATTTGTAGACTTGCCCATGACATTTTACTGTATCATTATTATTGTATCATCAAATGTTTACTCGTAACATACTGTATGACTGCACTTGATAATAGGAAATAAAAGAAAAGTTCAAAAAAAGAAAATGTATGTTTTACAATTTGCAGTATGATGTTATCTATTGCTAAATTATGGCTCATCATAGACTAGCTAATGCCACTATCATCAGTGGAAGACCGCTAACGTTAACTTTAATGAGCTTGGAAACAACAACGAACTTTTTCTGCCTAAATAAAGTAATGATTACTGTATTTATAACTAGCATATCTCTAGTTACAGTCCCTGCATTGTAAAATATAAGTTAGACTTGCGAGGAGTGAACATTTAGACAATATTTAATAAAAAAAATATCGGGCGATATATCGGAATATCGGATTTTAAAACCCAAAAATATTTGTATCGGTATCGGCCTTCAAAATCCTTTATCGGTCGGGCTCTAGTTACAATTACAAGAAACAAAATTGCCTTGCAAGATAAAACGTTGTGTCTACAAGAAAAAGTTGCATTGTAATAAAAAAAAAAACATTACATGATTTCAAGTCAAATTGTGAGCTATAAAGTTGCAATTCAAGGAAATAAAATTACCTTACAAAATAAAAAGATGCAGTTACAAGAAACAAAGTGGAATTGAAACATAGTTGTAATTGTGTTTTAAATTTGATCTTGTAATTGCAAGAAATAAAATTGCCTTGCATAATAGTTACATTTTAGATATGAATAGCCTTGAAAGCTGCACTGTGAGAAAGTCAAAGTAAAAGTGAGATATAGGCTAAAGTCAGATTGTGAGAAGTAAATCGCAAATGAAAGAAAAAAAACACACTGCAAGATAAATTTACAATTAGCTTTATTTAATTTTACAATGTGAAAACGGTCAATTATACTTTGGCCTTGCAGAGGGAGAAAATCTCCAAAAACGTCAACTGCAGTAATCAGAGCCGAGGACAAAAGTCCAATCAACAAGCCTCTGAAATCAATGAATGAAGATCATGAAGAGGCACAACAACTCAAAAATGACATCAATCGAGGCGCCCAGTGTGTTTATGTGATGAATGATCACTTCAATTAACCTTGACACAGTAAAAACAGTTAAATAAAAATCCTCCATAACAAGACATTGTACAGGGGCAGACCAGTGAAAGGGCGACCAGCAGTGTTGATTATGCTGAAAAGGCCCAGGGAGGGGGGTTGGGGGGGTCATATGAGTGCAGGGCCCCTCTGGGATTGGACGGCCGCACATTAAGTCATGCAGAAACACGCTGAAGGACCCAGCAGGAAATGTGCATTTGAAACAATGGAACTGAGGAAGCAGGGCCAAAAATATATCAGGAAAACCATCTCTCGCTCTTTCCATCTTCAAGTGGTTTATATTACAAACGAGCGTCTTCTCACAGGAGGTGCAACCAAAGCTAACCTTCAGAAACTAGGCCACCAGAGAATGCAGGTGCAATAGGGTGGGGCGAGGGGGCTTTTCAAAACACTCGATATTGATCAAACAAGAACAGTAGGATCATCTTCAACAAAGGTTATGCTGTACATGGATCTCTCAAATCAAGCATCTCACAATGCTATTCACAGAGCGAGGCTTATCTGAGCAACCCGGGGAAGCTGATAAAATCCAAGCCCTTGTGACACTGGACAAAATTAATCAAGTTCAAACTGTTTAATCATGATGAACTTTATCTGGGGAACAAGACCAATCTCACAGTGGACAGTCAAATCTGTTTAATGGGGAAATGGCTTTTCTCTCTGAGTCTATACAAACTTTACAAACCAGTTTTTTAGATTGTGGTGCGGCTATGATAAGGGGCTGAGGTTGATGTCCAAGGTATTGCCCAGGCCCAAGTCTCTAGAAAGGTCTCAATTATAAAAGAATACATTTTTGTCAATTGAAACAAAACTGAAATATAATAAAATATAAGTATTCGATGAAAAACTAAAACAGTTAGTTCCCAAGGCAATTTTCGTTTAAGTTGAAGTATAAGCCAACTACAATTACTCAAACCAAAACTTAAATAAAAATAAAGCTATATAAAGAGACTAAGCTAATATAAAGAGACTAAAACGCCTAAAAAATTACTTAAAAGAAAAATATAAAAATAAAAGCTAATTCAAAATGTTAATAAATAATAGTATACTAAAATAACCAAGTTCCACCATTACGTGATTTTTTAAAAGTGATTTACTATTGGTAATGGTTGATTTTGGATCTTTAAATGCACATACTTTCCTCCTGTTTTTTTTAATTTTTTACCATGCCATTCTTTAAAGCATTTCATTTTGGAATAAACATTTACATATATACATAATTATTTAATTGTAGCATTTAAATATAGGCCTATATATATTCTATACTATTTTGTGTAAAAAAAAAAATGACACTAATTTTCTTAACTAAAAATATATTCGTTTTTAGTGTCATTTTTTAAGACCATAAATCAATTATCGACTACTATAACATGAAAATATTTATCGGTTTGTTATACAATTTTAATGTGAATTTCTAAAAAAAAAAAATTATTTCTGAAAACTGACTTTAGCCTAATTTAATTTACTTACATTTCCCAGGACAATTGCACAGGCTTAATTTATCAATTTTATAGTATTTTGTATCGAGCTCAAATAGAAGCAGGTTCATCAGTTTGCTGTGCTCCCACACGGCCTGCTCTGTACGCTCTGGGTTAAAAGAAAACACATCTAATCCACGAGAGCATCATGTACATGCAGCTTAGCTCTTCACACAGTTCACCAGCAGTCTGTTAAACTGCGTCAGGCCTTAAAAAGGTAGAGCAATCATCATCACATCTGTTAAAACAAGGCCAGACAAAGATTACCGAAAAACAGGGTTAGAGTAGACAGGCTGGCTACTGGGATTACAAGTAGTTGCTTTTAGAAGCCCGGTTTGCTCTGACAATTACACTTATGCTCTTGGCAATATAGCTTGTGCTTTCAAATTAACTGACAAAAGACATGTGCATATTGCATATGAAACAATTACTACACACAAACAAACCTCACAGTGCCAAAAGCACCACAGCACAAGCTACATAACATCAGGTACACGTGAGCTGCCCAGAATTGGTTGCTCAATGCACGTTCATTGGACATACCCTTTGGACACGCTGCAATAGCCTACTTTGTGATATCTTCAATATCCAAGATGTATTGTAAGGCAAATAAGCAAAAAAAACAGTTATCTTGGCATGAGACATCAAAAATATTCATAGAATCAATAAATGAGGATGATGATTGTTCTTATTGGATGTTTTAAGGCTCAATTAAACATTGAATGGATTGAATCCTTCCTCCAACAACGTATTGAGCTGGTTTCAGAGAACATTTGGCGATTGGGAACATTGGCTAATTGATTTCACTCAATTTAGGTAATTGGATATTAAATTGATTTATCTAAGATCAATCATGTTTATCCAAAATGTCAATATATTAAGATATAGACACACAGGCTTTAGTCAATGGCATATTTTTGTGCTCAAATTTTCTCGAACAGCCATCACAAGTCAACTTCATCACACAAACCTTAAAGAGAATGTTTTAGGTATTTTTATTTATAGTCACCACCAATATCAGGGGAAAAAATGGCTACATTAAGGCTAATAAATGTGTGATTTGTAAAAAATATGGTTATTTTCTCAAGACGGAGTGATGTCTGACAATATGAAACCATCTTGTAGTCTCAATAAATTTGGAATTAATGCTAGTTTGATAGTTTGTATAAAAAATGACAGCCACATTGAAATTTGAACCCAATATAGATGAACACCATGGAGCATGTTGAACGGATTCATCCAAAACAATTCACATATGCTACTAAATTTTGTAGCATGTCTTATATAATTTCTTATGGAGTCAAATTTAAGTCTGCTATTCCCAGCCAAGCTTATTAATACATTCCTAAAGTCCTAATATCTGGAGGCTATATAATGTCATTCAAATTGGGCTCATAAGAAATCAGTGCACGTCATCTCGTGTTTATTATACCTGCTGACTGTGGTGTTTACCATCACGCTACAGTGTATAAAACACAATAACTCAGTCTTACCTGCCAAAGCATCGGGCTCTAGACCAGTTTCGTTGTCTATTCCACATATAATGAAGTAATGTGCGAAGCGACAGGGCGCTGACCCAGAGCCGCTCATAGTCGCGCTCATCTCGGCTCGAGCTGATCCGCTTTGTCCCCGTTTGTTATACAGACCCAGCCAGCTCCATGTTCAACGTCCCCAGGCAAATGAACTGAACCAAAGCGAGGTTGTAATAAAGACTTCTCGCTATGTTTTCTTCGTGCAGTAAGCTTCGGAAAGCCGTCTATGACTATCTAGTTTGGTTTGAAGAGCGTTTGCTGCCGAGTCTGCGAGTTGTATCTGCTTTCACGAGCGCACTCACACACTGCTCGCGCACTGACGCACCGCTTCAGCTGATCACACCCAGCCAATCCAGTCCCTCCAAATGTTTGACCACAAGGATTTGTCTCTGAGAGAGAGCGATGTGCAGTGATGTACGCATTATCTTTACAATTACGATTCAACAGAATATATATATTTCATATATCAATATATTTTTGTTATTTTGTTATACATCAGATTATCTAACAATATTTTTATTTGCTCGTATAGTGTTTTGATACATTCCTAATTTGAACCAATGCTCATTTATAAATAGGCTACAACAGTGTCAAAGTGTTTTGTTATAGTATAAGCTAACTTAATAAAAAAGATGCTATAAATCATATTTTAAACAGTCTTTATGTTGTTTCTACGTTAATTTGGAGATTCAGTGGGATATGATGTTTTACAATATAAAAACTATATTACACGTTTTACTATTGGGTGCGAATAGTCGCAATTAATTGGGCTACAGAAAAAAATTGATTAATTAGTTTATTGATTGACAGCACAGGCTATATTTCTGAGCGATAAATTATAACAACAAGGCTAACATAACTTGAAATGTTGCATATTAAGTTAAGAGGCGGTAACAGTTTATGAATGGTTACTGATTTCTCGCCAGAGGATGAAATGTTGATCAAAAATACATAATTATAAACATAGGCCTATCATAGTTGCAAATGGTATTACAGCAAACTCACTGTATCCACAAACTGGGCCTAAGATCAGATATCAGACATTGAAGATCACTTTTTTTTTTTTTTTACCTATTCTGTTTATATTTGCGTATTGTGACATAGGAAGAAGTCTGAAGTCAAATCTATTTTTAAGTGTAATGCATGTAGATAATAACTGTGATTTCTGTTTTTTGTGCACCATCAGTCCTTCAGTAATAGGATGAAAAGAGTTTTGACACAAAAAGCAGCCTAAGCAGGCCCAAACTACATCAGTAGCCTATATAAGAGAAAAATGCCAATGGTAATGCATCAAATATTCTACCTTTTTACCTAAATATTGGTTTCTGTTAATGAGGACTTAACTAGGAGAACTTTCTTCTCCCTATGATGTGACATGCATAACCACACTGTAAATGATTTCTGTTGTTTTCACAGGATTATACTGTTTTTCTCAACAGTTTCTTACTGTATAATCTATGTACAGTAAGTTACAGTAGATTTAGTTGTTTTCACAGTATTAAATTGTTTTTTCAACAGTTATGTACTGTGCACACAGTTGACAGTATGTTACTGTAGAATTGCAATGCATTCTGGGAAATTATCAGTTACTGTTAATCTAAATACAGCAGTGCAATTGACCGCGAAAAACACCACACACAGTTCCACGGGTAAAATTGCTAGCCTACTAATGTTATTCTTACATTTAAAATAAAAATGTAGCACTGGTTGACCATTAACAGTCATAATTTATGACATAATTTATGTCAGTGGGGTGTGCATGAGAGCATATTTGACTTTGGAAGAGTTTCTCTGTCGTGTCAGTGGTGCTGCTGTCTTTTCTGCCGACCTGCAACTTCTTCATCTGGTAAGTAATAATTCTTATAATGTGTATGCAAACGGATTAATAACTTTAAAGTTATTTAGAATAGCTGACCACGATTTCTATATTCAATTTAATATATTCTAGACATTTTAATATAATATGTATATGATAGGCTACTCTTCAATGTAGCCATTTGGGATGTTACTGTAAATTCAAATACATTAGTACGAAATAACCGCGAAAAATAACCACAACAAGCTGCCATTTTATGAAGAACTCTTCAGTTCCCTTCCCTCTGTAAGAACACGCAGGCCGTGCATCGCGTCGCTGTCGGTCGGCAACGTTTTCGCCATACATCTGGTTAGTAATTCATATTTTTATGCAAACCATATGAGTTAACAGATTACCGTTAGAAAGAAGTGGCCGCGGAATGTTCGATAACGTCTGTATAAGTCAGACGCGGATTTCTTTTATGTTGATAGCCTTACTTGATTAAATGTGATTTTATTAACATATATTTCATATGTAACCTCTTATACGGTCAAAATGGTCTAATCATTTTGTTATTTACCACGTTAAGTCGGTGGAAGCGCCTGCACGTTCATTATTTTATGACTTACAGGGGTTAGGAATTGATAATCGATAAATGTATCCTGAAATCGGACATCCAAGGTTAGGATTCGGATTTATTGTTATAAAATTAAAGTGCCGATTCCTCTTATTGATTTTTTCACGCTTATTTTCGTGTAAATGACCTGACCTGGCGTTCTGCCAATAACGTTACCTCAGTGATAAAGTTGGACCGCGGAAAGCGCCCAAGGTGTATGTGTGACATTTACAGTATTTGTTGTGGTCTTTGTTAATCTTTGGTTATCATTAACGACACATACACGAGGGAGTTAGCCTGGTGTTGAACACTTTACTAGCGAACTTAGAATCAACAACAACAAAAAAAACCCGGGTCATACCAACTACACAAACTGCCTGGGGGTGTTCCGGTAGGAACCATTCACTGCATATACTACAGTATTGTCGGCTATAATATCATTTTTATTTATTTTTTTTTTTTACTATGTGTAAACTGACATGTACTCATTTGAAGGGAACGATGCCTTGTCAATCTTTTTTTAAGTCATGTAACTTAGTATCACACAAGCAAGATTTAGCCTACGTTTTCACGTGATCGTAAATGAATTGATTTTAAACAACAGTCCAAACAAGATTTTAGTATTAAGTGAATTACACTTTAGACATCATTTTGTCTGTTTTTGCTGTTTAGCCAAAACAACAACAAAAACGTACTATATTTTAACTGTCTTGTCTGTTCTCCTTTTCCACAGGTGTGAGCTGTGCATGTTAAGAAGACCCCTATCCATCTTGACGACTGATGAATTGTAAATCTAATCTAATTTAAATTATTCTATTTATCTAACTACTACTACTATACCTTGGTCCAGTACTGACCCACTGAGAACATTTTAAACGGATTTTTATCCATCTGTGAATTTTGTCTAGCCTATCTGCAAGTTGTTTAGAATTGTTGTGTGAAAATAAACGTTACAGTACAGTTTAAGGTTTAATTGCATAAAAGCTTGGATAGAAAACTTCCTATTGCAAAAGTTAGAACATAAGTCTGCATATAAATAATTATTGATATCCGTAATGCAAGTTTTTCATGGCACATGTGCATGATGAGGTTGTTTTGTGTTTATTTTTTTTTTTTTTTAAAGGACACTGGATAACTTGTCATTTTGTTATACTCATCTGGATTGGTGGTTTACTCGTCAAAGCTTTTATAGTTTATAAGTTTATATGTGTCTCCCAGCCCTGCAAATCTGGTCCCTTAGATAGAAAGCAGCCAAAAACCCTTTAAAATCAGCAACTGACCAGTTAGACAGTCTATCTCAAACCAATAGACAATCTTAGACTAGTTTAAGCTGTTTTACCCCAGCAGGGAGTGGGTGGATGAGTTGTTATGAACTATCTTTCTAATAGATTGATCAGATAGCACCCCTTTAATCTTTTCTATTTTACCTGTTCATGATAATTTTTGCATGTATTTATGCATAATTGTTCATGATTGTCATGCATGATTTTTATTGTATTATATTACATTTTTATTATTAATGTATTTAATTGTATTAATGTATTTAAATGTATATTATGTAAATGTACTAATGTGTTTGAAAATACACAATAAACCTTGTGCAGTTAAAGCTTCAATTGTTCTTTTTTCTATTTCCCATTAACAGTTAAAATAATATTTCTACTGATTTTCTACAGGTTACACAGTAGCACTATAAAATAAATACAATAACATTTCATACTATACAGTATTATTAAAAATTAACAGTGTAATTCTGTACTTTAATATGGTAAGAAATTACAGTAAAATAATGTTATTTAATTTGCAGTATGCTTAACAGTACTGTAGTTAGTGTTACGGTAATTTTACTGTTAAATGAAATACAGCAAGTACTGGATAATTGTTGCCAGTAAGTTACTGTTAATTTGACAAGAAATTTTTTACAGTGCATTGGCAAAAATCTACTCCATCACACAGGGCATGATGTCATCCAAAATTTTTGACTTTTAACATTCAGCTATACAACTGTTTGATCCCACTGTCCATTTCAAACCCTTTCTTGTTGTGTAGAACATGTGGCAATAAAATTGGCAAAAAAGCAGAAGAACTCGCTATGCATCAACAACATAAGAAGATATTTTTACACAGTTTTACATTGTAAACAATTTGTCTATGACTGGACTAAATCTTTATTTGAGAAAGCAGCTCCATCTAACATTCCTAAAATGGTCTCTCTTCTAGCCTGGTCATCCCTCACCCCTTCCATTAGAGGTCAGCCTATTAATCCTGATCCTTTTAATGTTCACGATTAATTACACAAAACTGTGCAATTACGCCCATTTTAGGCCTTTTTCTTCTTTTTATTAGGCCTACTTCTTTTTTTAATCGCTTGTCAATTATATAATACAATTATTTATACATATCCAAGTCAAATATTGTCATTTATCTAAAATGATAAAATAATTGAAAACTAAATCAGTTAAACAATATTAATAATATAGCTTTTACTGATTATTTTATGATGCATTACTGTAATATACACATTTTAAATATCTATGCTCATTCAACATAAATCTGCTCTGTAGGCTGTTAAATATTATGCTATGTAAAATATTCATGAGATGAAATGTTCTATCATCCACAGATAAAATTCATCATAGCTAGATTATTACAATAACGCCATCTGTTGGTTAAACTAATGTGTTGCTGCCTTTGCGTTTGCCTCTCTCAGTGTTTTCCAGTTTGCTTTATAAAATGATGATAAATAAAATAAAACAACAGTAAGGCGTTTAGGCAGTATTTTATTAAAGTAGGTAATTATCATTTTAATGAATGGCGGTGTTTTCAGAAGTTAGAACACATGAATAACCGACAAACATTTTGAAAACGTAGTAGCCATAATAAATATAAATAAATAAA